GTCGCAGATGCAGCTTTCTTCGTTCATTAGAAGAGGAGGAGGAGATTGGATTTATACCCCACCTTTCACTACCCAAAGGAGTCTCAGAGCGGCTTACAAACTCCTTTCCCTCCCCCTCCCCACAACAGACACCCTGTGAGGTAAAAGAAGAAGAAGAGATTGGATTTATATCCCGCCCTTCACTTGGAGTCTCAGAGTGGCTTACAACCTCCTTTCCCTTCCCCTCCCCACAACAGACACCCTGTGAGGTGGGAGGGGCTGAGAGAGCTCTGACACAAACAGCTCTTTTTCAAGAACAGCTGTGCCAGAGCTTGTGACTGACCCAAGGTCATCCAGCCAGGTGCAAGTGGAGGAGTGGGGAATCAAACCCGGTTCTCCCAGACTAGAGTCCGCAGACTTAACCACTACACCAAACTGGCCAGTCCAAACTGGAAGTCCAAGGCTGCTATGCAGAGGCAGATCATGGCAAACTGCCTCGAAATGTCTCTTGCCGTGAAGACCCTATGGGGTTACCATAAATAGGCTGTGAGTTGACAGCAAAAAAAAATTATAGACAGACAGCTATGATGCACTTATTTAGATCTGAAATTCTGGGTCTACTGACCTTCCAGACAGCAGCAACAAAAAAATAAGTCCCTGTCCCCGAGGAGCCTGCAATTTAAACATCAACACAGACGAAAACGCATTAGAAGTATTAATAATAATTTTGCTGGCTCTCACCAAATGCTCTTTACAACATTTATGATTCTACAATAATATATATGAGTTTGGTAAAATTGTTGACTTTGGTTCCTATAGAATTATTATTGCATGTACTTCGTGTTTTGACTACAGGTTTGTTTGCGATGCTACTGGTTGTTTTTCTGTAGCCGCCCACCCCCCTTTGCTGGCTCTCACCAAAGTCCGGCACATTCTTTCAAATGGCATTGTTCTTCTTCTAAACTACTTGCTCAGTTTTTCTACTTCGCTTTTCAACAGACTGCAAAAGCTGCATCTGACACCCTGAAGACATGCTTGGCAGCTTCCGGCCTGATGCTTCTAGGCACATCCTGAAAACCACAGCCTTCCCCTGTGCCCGTCATTCAGGATCCAAGTAGACGGCTTCTGAATATGGAGGTTCCATGTTACCTGGGCCATTTAATAGAAGAGGAGGAGATTGGATTTATACCCCACCCTTCACTACCCAAAGGCGTCTCAGAGCAGCTTACAAACTCCTTCCCCTTCCCCTCCCCACAACAGACACCCTGGGAGGTAAGTGGGGCTGAGAGAGAGCTGACAGAAACTGCTCTTTTTCAAGAACAGCTCTGACAGAACTATGGCTTGCCCGAGGTCATCCAGCAGGTGCAAGTGGAGGAGTGGGGAATCAAACCCGGTTCTCCCAGATTAGAGTCCGCGCACTTAACCACTACACCAAACTGGCTCTCAATACCCATTGCTAGACTGTGAGCTAGTCGTCTTCTGGGAAGAAATGAGGCACCAACCGATAAGCAGCTAGGGACCAAATGAATGTATTCACTATGCCGGGTTGTGTATTTTTATTAGCAGTGAATACGCCTTGCATCCCTATTCGCAGAAGACTCTTGTCATCAGTGGACCAACTCTCTCGGTCAAACATTCTGGCAATGAATGGGGGGGTTTTTTTGCTCACTGCTGGCATCCATTATGAAAGTCAACTCCGTGTCCCAAGTTGTGATCATTAAATGCTCCCCATTTAGTTTCCCCCATGAGCCAGACCATCAGATCCTACTAATTTTGTAGTATGGGAATATTGCAAAGGATTAGCCATTTAAGTCTGTTGTCAGCAAAACAATAAATCACCGTGTATAGATATACAATGTAAGCAGATATTTATATATAATGCTTTTAGAAATCAATTGTCAGCAAAGTTACAACTATAACTTTGTTGTAACTTTGCTGATTTATTGTTTTGCTGGCTACATTACACCGTGGTCTTGTTTGTTGTAATTTAAGTCTGTTGTGGCAAAATAAACAACAGTCCAGTGCCATCTTAAAAAATAATAATATTTATTTCCTTATGAGCTTTTGTGAGTCACAGTACACTTCCGTTTCATTTAGTATCGGAACAGCCTAAACAGCTTGATGAAAATATAGTCTTACCCACAAAATGTTTGGATCCCAACTGCTACTTCTGTGGAATATCTCCTTACCCCTCAAGACCCTCCCTCTGACCACCTGGGGCATGCATACCTTCAATAGAAGAAGAGATTGGATTTATACCCCGCCCTTCACTACCCAAAGGAGTCTCAGAGCGGCTTACAAACTCCTTTCCCTTCCCCTCCCCACAACAGACACCCTGTGAGGTAGGTGGGGCTGAGAGAACTCTGACAGAAACTGCTCTTTTTCAAGAACAGCTCTGACAAAACTATGGCTTGCCCAAGGTCATCCAGCAGGTGCAGGAGTGAGGAATCAAACCCGGTTCTCCCAGATTAGGGTCTGCGCATTTAACCAGTACACCAAACTGTTTTCACATCTCTAAAGGGAAGGATTCTGCTTTCCTTCCTTCCATTTGTCACCTTTATAAAAACTTGAAATTTTTCCAGATGCTACAGTTGCAGTCCTGAACAGAGTTACACCATTCTAAACCCACTGACTCCACTGGATTCAGGAGTGACTAACTCTGCTTCGGACGGCACATTTGACACCATATAACTGGTATCCAAATGCCACACCTTTCCATGTTTGCACAGGGTTGTAGAGCAGATAAAGGTGGCCCTATATGTCCGTTCCCAGGGTTCCTTACTTAGGAGTTATGAGACTTCGACTGGTTTGAAAGTGGTCCAGAGTGCTTCTGTAGACATGTTCAGGTTCCAAACTGGTTCTAGAGCCCCAGCGTTGGTGCTTTCAGGGCTTGAGAGAAGACATATAAACTGCCCCACATGGTTGAGTTCGCCCATGGAATCGCCAGGAGTTGGACACGACAACACATGGTTGAATACCATTTATTGGGATGTTCACCAAAGAAAAGCTCCCCTTTCAAAGCGGAAGGACAGTCCAAAGTTTGCACAAAGCAGGCAAGTTTCCCGCGTGTCCGGGAAAGATTTGAATCCCACATCCCAGTGGCCCACGTCAAAACGGCTGGACCTTGCGTAGCCGGTACTGTCGCTTTGTATTCACTCTCCGGAGGAAACGCCAGTAACTGATGGTGTCCGGGTCTAAATCTTCCAGCTTCTTCGGTGGGCCGAGATCCACCTGGAAAAGCCTTGAAGGGGCAAAGGACAAAAAGGTCAAAGAAAGACAGGATCGGCCAAGAATTAAGTCAAGTTGTGCAGGAGGCGTATCCATGCTGAGGACTCTCCAGCCTCTTGGTATCCCCAGGGCTGGGTCAAGCTTCCAGCCTATTGGGTATACCCCCAGTCATGGGTGGCCTTACCAAATGCAGCGGGAATTGAGGCTCTGGATAAGAGTGTTAGTGTGGCCCGGAGTTTATTCCGCTTTTAGTTAGGGCTTGGGGGTCAGTCGAGGGGAGAAAGCTTATTCTAGTAGGACAAATAAGCACCCTGTTAAGGGCCCGTCATTCCTAAACTAATGCGTGTGTGGGTTCTGGGGGAAAGGGCCCTATACGTGTAAAGAGCAGTCTTGAACATGCTGAGGTTCCCTGTCCAGCGAAAGGGGAATCTCATCTCCCTCAGGGGTAATTTATTTGAGAGCCAGCTTTACTTCCTGTATCTAACAAAGTTTGAGTCCAGTGGCACTTCTAAGACCAACCGAGTTTAATTCTGGGTATAAGCTTTCGTGTGCAGGCACACTTCTATATCTAAGTTATCCACACATCATATTTATTTATCTATTTAATTTATATCCCGCCCTCCCTGCCCAGGCAGGCTCAGGGCGGCTTAAAAAGGTAAAGGTAAAGGGTTCCCTTGCTCGAAAGCCAGTCGAGTCCGACTCTAGGGTTGCGGTGCTCATCTCCGTTTCAAAGCTGAAGAGCCAGCACTGTCCGAAGACGTTTCCGTGGTCATGTGGCCGGCATGACTAAACACCGAGGCGCACGGAACGCTGTTACCTTCCCACCGAAGTGGTAC